TTTGGTGGGTCCGGGCTGGGGATTCGAACCTGCCACCTTAGGTGTACGTGGCTGGCGCCTTAGCCGGTTGAGCTATAGGCGCCGAGCCAGAAACTAATTGTTTCTTGGTGTTTAGTCTAAGTCATGCTCCAATATTAGCCCCAACTGATGGAAGATGAAGTAATTACAAGTGGAACAGAAGTTATATGAGCAACATTAGAAAGTTTAGGAATTGAAAAAGACCCAAATATTTATCAAGAAAAGAATAGATAGCCAGGTTTGGTGGCTAACGCCTATAATCTTAGCACTCTGATAAGCCAAGGCAGGTGGACTACTTGAGCTCACAAGTTCGAGACCACCCTGAGCAAAAGTGAGACTCCTGTCTCCACTAAAATAGGAAAACTGAGGCAAGAGAATCACTTGAACCCAAGAGTTGGAGGTTACTGTGAGCTATGACACCACGGCACTCTACCCAGGGCAACAGCTGGAGATTCTGTCTAAAAAAAAAGAAAAGAAAACAATAGATGAACCCAATTGTGATAAATTTCTACAGTAGAATTTCATGCAACAGTGAAAAATTCATAAATTAGAGTTGTATTTATCAACATGGATAAATCTCAGAAGCATAATTAGAAATTATGCAAATTTCTAATTATGTGAAATTAGAAAAGTTACAAAGTATACATACACTTTGATAAAATTTAAGTATTCAAACATCCAAACTATTTTTTTGTTTATAGATATACACATATACATTAAAAGTATAAAAATATGAAAGTGAATGACAGATACCAAATGCAGGATAAGCCAGGCATGGTGGCTCACACCTGTAATTCCAGCATTCTAGCAGGCTAAGGCAGAAAGGTCATCTGAGGCTGGACATTCAAGACCAGACTGGACAACATAGTGAGGCCCCTGCACCAGGCATGGCTAATTTAGCCCACAGAAAAACCAAATACAGGATAGATGGTAACCCTGGGATGGGATTAGAATGGGGTATAGAGGGAGCCTCTGTTGTGTCTCTAACACTTCTTTCTTAGGTGGATTGAGAAGTATATGACTGTTTATTATATTATCATATGAATTTCATAATTTATGTGTTTTTTTTTTTTTTTTTAGAGATATGGTATCACTCTTTTGCTGAGGTTGGAGGACAGTGGTGCAATGATAGCTCACCGCACCCTCCAACTCCTAGCTCCTAGGTTTAAGCAATCCTCTTCCCTCAGTTTCCTGAGTACCTGGGACTACAGGCATATACCACTGAACCTGGCTAATTTTTCTTCTTTATTTTTTTAGAGACAGGATACTTACCATGTTGTCTAGGCTGGTCTTGAACTCCTGGACTCCCTCAAACAGTCTTCCTGGCTCTGCCTCCCGAAGTGCTGGGATTACAGATATGAGCCACCACACCTGGCCTGAATTTCATAATTATTATAAAACCAAATATTGAAGAAAGAGTGAATGATACAGGTGGTGAGCTATGCACCAAATTATTTCATTTATTCATTTATCTTCTATGTATCTACTTCCCATAGTTTCTGTGTGCTCTGCCAAGAAGGGAAGGTTATGAGTTCTTTGTAGGACAATGGACAGGTACTGAACTCCACTTCACTGCACTTATAAACATTCAGGTAAGTGGCTTGCATTCTTCCTGAGACTCAGAGGCATAGGATATCTACCAAGTCCTAGCATTTTTTGGTATAGCACTGATGAAATTGTCATACTTTGTTATGTTGGACTAGTATTTTAGGCCCCACTCAATACCTAGAAATTGGAAAAGACTCCAAAATACCTCTGACTACTCCTGAGTCTCTTCGGTCTCTTCCCCTGACCTCCATCTCACTTACTGCATGTGCCCCACTTAACAAACATGGCTTAACAACATGAAGTTATGATGGGATCTTTTTAACTCAAGTTATAATCCCCTTGAGGAAGGTTCCATGTCTTATATGTGTTTTCTTAACCAACTCAGGACTTCCCAACATGCTAAGTGAATGATTCCTTTTAATGAATGTTATTTAGTTTTATTTCTTCCTTCCTTTCTTTTCTTTGTTTTAGTCCTGAATATTAGATTTAAAAGTTAGATTCAAAGCATTTGAAGCTTTGGCTCAGCACCTGTGGCTCAAGTAACTAAGGCACCAGCCACATACACCTAAGGTGGTGGGTTTGAATCCAGCCTGGGCCCGCCAAACAACAATAATGGCTGCAACCAAAAAAAATAGCCAGGAGTTGTGGTGGGCACCTGTGGTCCCAGCTACTTGGGTGGCAGAGGCAGGTGACTCGCTTGAGCCCAGGAGTTGGAGGTTGTTGTGAGCTGTGATGCCACAGCACTCTACCCAGGGGGACAGCTTGAGGCTTTGTCTCAAAAAAAATAAATAATAAAATAAAATAAAAATTCCTATTTGAAATCAGATGGGAACTAGGAAAGGCATTCTCTATTTAAAGACCAAATCTGGCAAAAATAAGCATCTATGATATAGGGTTTGAAGTTGGGGTACAAGAGGATAGGAAATAGAATGAGGGAGTAGCTTTGTACTTTGTTATTTTGTAATTCATCCAGCAATCATTTGTTGAGAACATACTATAGCAACCAACATTTGATATACTTACTATATGCCAGATATTTTACATACATTATCTCATCTAATTCTGATATGTATGCCACAAGATAGTTACCGTTACTATTTTCTGTTTATGAAGAAGAAAACAGGTTCAAAGAAGTTAATTCACACTGCTGTTTTAACATGTGACTGGGCCAGGTTTGAGTCCAGGTTATCTGACTCCAAAGTCTATGAACTAAATCATTATGCCATTTTCTTGGGAACTGTGCTAAGACCTGGATGGAAATCTATGAGACCAGGTTCCTGTCCTCACAAAGCTCATAAAGTTTTGGAGAAAGTTCTGGTAACATAATTATAATCAAAATGATTAGCATAATATAGAATTATGATCAAAATAATTAGTATAATATTAGAAGTATATTCAACAGAACTGAGAGGCTAAAGTATTAAGAGTATGCTAGTATAGGGCTCAGTGCCCGTAGCATAGTGGTTACAGCACCAGCCACATACACTGAGGCTGGTGGATTCAAACCCAGCCCAGGTCAGCTAAACAACAATGACAACTGCAACAAAAAAAATAGCTGGTGCTGTGGCGGGCACCTATAGTTCCACCTACTTGGAAGTCTGAGGCAAGAGACTTGCTTAAGCCCAAGAATTTGAGGTTGCTGTGAGCTGTGACACCATGGCACTCTACCAAGGGCAAAATACTCTGTCTCAAAAAAAAAAAAAAGTACACTAGTATGGTGTATGGTACACCTCTTGGGGGTAGGACACAATTATAAGAGGGACTTTATCTAACAAATGCAATCAATATAACCTAATTTTTTGTACCCTCAATGGATCCCAAACAATAAAAAAAAAAAAAGAGTACACTAGTAATAGTTAGGAATTGACAATTAAAATGACTCTTGCTGAAATGTTAAAGATGAAGCCCAGAGATCTTTTTTGAATGTTACTTGTTTCCTTCTACATTGTATAGGAATTTTAGCTTTGAACCCATACTTTCTTCCTTGTCTAGGCGTGAGGTCTAGTAGCCACTGCCCTAACCATTCTTCATAAAATCGTGTTTCCATTCTTTTTCTCCCCTTCACCTCCCACCCAGATTGTTTTAAAACTACACACTACAAATCTAGCCCATGTGCAAACTCTTCAGCTCTTGCTACAGCTTAAAAGAGCTCAATTTTCAGAGCCAGCCAAAGGGAGTAGATTTCAGCTATGAAATGTATTAGTTCATAAAAGTGGCAATTACTAGGCACATTGCTTTCTTTAGAACTTGATTTGGTAGCTGCTTGTACCATTTTGTTTTTAAATGTATGGCCACAATGAAAGATTCACTGCCTACTGTAAACATTTTCTGCGAAAAAAGCCAAACCTTTTCCAGCTGAAGACACAAATAACGCTGTGCAAACTGTCACTTTCACTGTGCCTTTGCAGGCCTGACCTTGCCCACACACACCACTCCAACTCACTAGCCACCCAAGGGGCCCTTAAGAGCCAGAATTTCCTCTAGACTCTCTATTGCTCTGAAATTGCAGTTTGTTGTGATGGTATCTTATTGAACCTTGATAAGTGTCCCTCCTTACAGACCCGAGGGGAAACTGCAGCCAGCCAGCTGGTTTTATATCACTATCCTGAACTTAAGGAAGAAAAGGGCATAGTACTAATGACTGCAGAAATGGATTCTACATTTCTGGTAAGAATTAACTTTTACCTCTTTGGACATACCTAATAGCCTTAAAAGGTATCACTCCTCTGCCAAAGTTTGTGAGAGGTAAAGTTCCAGAGAGCTGCATGTACTTTGTTTCTTAGTTATTTAAAGTTTACAATAATTTTGTCTTACTTAAGCTCTTCCAAGTTAAATTTAATACAGATCATCAGTCATTATTCACAATTCTGAAATCCACAGGCTCTGAAAATAAAGTTTCTTTCATACTTTCTTGGTCACAAAACCTTACCTACAGCCACACATGGTAGCTTGTACCTGTAATCTCAGCACTTGGGGAGCCAGAGGCAGGAGGATCACTTTCAGCCAGGAGTTTGAGACCAGCCTGAGCAACATAACAAGACCCTGTCTCAAAAAAAAAAAACCCAAAACAAAAAAAGCCTTCACCTGAATTTGGCCTCATTTAGTAACTGAATTTTGACTTAAAATAATGTGAGGCCATTTATAGTCCTTATTAATCCTACTTGGTGTGGAATAGTAAATATTTTACTAGGGAAATATTAATATGTTTGATTATGAGGAGTTGCATAATAAACAGTTGTACAGTATCTGCACCTGTAACCTTTGTAAAATTCAATAATTCTGAATCTAAGACACACCCACTTCTTAATTATAGGGAAGAATTCAAAGTGGGATAATTCTCAGTCTTATCATCTTCTTCCACACTGCTCACATGTACGACATTGATCATACATAGTGATTTCCTTTCCTCCTCATCCCATTCCCAGATGAGAATCACTGGGATAAAGCACAGACCCATAACTAATGATGGCCATTGTGTTCTCTTTGCACAGATATCTAGGGGGACAGGAGCAGTTTAGGACTATTATACAACCTGTTTGTCTACTCCTTGCTCATTTCAGTCTCATGTACCTGGCAAAGACTAAGTTCAAGATTCCTTCAAAATGATGGACACTTTAGAGCCTCTTCCCCCTGAGATTCTTCATTATAATATCCACTAAATTTTTTCTTTCTCTTACAGCTACATAAGGGCAAGGAAGAAGTGATATCACTCAGCCAGTATCTCCAGTAATGGTAGTCCCCGAGCCTAGGACACAGTGAAGACTCTACCTCCCTATCTATTATTCTTGAAACTATCCAGTCCCATCTCTCCCGTTTTTCCTGCCATTTAAACCCTTCCATTCATCACATTCAACTAGAAGTTATCCAGAATTCTGAAAATAATGAAGTTGCCATTAACTGATACATGTAAGATTACAGGAGGAATAGATTTGGGAGGAAAATCAGGAGCTCACTTTTGGATATGTTACATCTGAGATGCCTATTATATATCCAAGTAGTAGGCAGTTAGACATATGTATATGAACCTGGAGTTAGACTGGAGATATAAATAGGGATATTGTCAGCATACAGATTGTATTTTAAACCTGGAACTAAATGAAGTCACAAAAGAAGTGAGTAAAGATAGAGAAGAGGTCTGAGAACCAATCCCTGGAGAGATAAAGCAACATCAGTAAATCATATTAAGAAGGAATGGTCATGAGGTAGGTGGGAAATTAAGATGGTAGAATGCCCTGGATGCTAAGATAAAATATTTCCAAGAATAGGAACTGCCTAGCTGGCCAAATTTTACTTGCTTATTGGGCAAATGAGGTGCTGACTGAGAATTTACTAGATTTCACAAACATGGAAGTCCTTGGGGATCTCCATAAGGATAGTTTCAAAGGAGTGATTCAATAAAAGTGTAATTAAGAGTAGACTTAAGAGAGGATCAGAAGAGAAATTAGGAAGAATAAGCACGCATAGAAACTCAAAAGAGGCATTTTTGTAAAGGAAAGAGAAAATGGGGCATTAGCTGGAGAGGGAGAAGTGGGGCCAAGGGTATTTTTTGTTTTAAATGTTGAAGAAATAACATCATATTGTATATGGACAGAAAAGATCAGGTAAAGATGAAATATTGATAATATAGGAAAAAGAGGGGGGAAGTGATATTTTTGAGTGGGCAAGTCTGGAAATGAGGGGTTGATACTTGCCAGGAGTACAAAAACAAGGGAGAAGCCGTAGTATAAGGACACAGATACAATTAAATGGATAGAGGCAGTGATAGGTTGTAGAATTTCCAGATTGCTTAGTGAAAAGAAAGAAAGGTCATCAGCTGAAAGCAAAAATGGAAAAATGTTGGATGTTTGAGTCAAAAGAGGAAGTGTGAGATTATTATCTAGGACAAAGGTCAGCAAACTAAAGCCCGTGGGCCAAATCAACCCACTGCCTGTTTTAATAAGGCCCTGAAGTTAACATTCTCTACATCTGTAAGTGGTAGGGGAAGAAAAGCTTAAAGAAAAATATGACATTGGAAAGTATATGAAATTCAGATTTCAGTGTCTGTAAGTAAAGTTTCATTAGAACACAGCCCTGCTTATTTACTTACATTTTTTGAGACAGAGTCTCATTTTGTCACCCTTGCGAGTGCCATAGTGTCATAGCTCATGGCCACCTCAAACTCTTGGGCTCAAGTGATTCTCTTGCCTCAGCCTCCCACGTATATGGGGCTACAGGCGCCTTCCACAATACCCAGGTATTTTTAGAGACGGTGTCTCTCTCTAGCTCAGGCTGGTCTCAAACCTGTGAGCTCAGGCATTCCACCCGCCTCGGCCTCCCAAGTACTAGGATTACAGGCATGAGCCACCGCACCCGGCTTCCTTCCATATTTTTATGGCTGCTTTTGTTCTACAACAGAGATGAGTAGTTACAACAGAAGCAGTATGGCTCACAAAGCCTAAACTATCTACTGTCTGCTCTTTTATAGGAAATGTGTGATAACCCATCATCTTGGGGAATGGAAGAGAGAATGGGTATGCAGGTACAGGCACAGAGAGAGGAGGCTGAAAGTTGGATTACCTAAGGTTACAGTTTAGCCAAGTGGTATAGTAAAGTAATTGAAAGTCCAGGAAGCTGACTGCAAAGGCTGACCATGGAGTGGAAGTTGGATAAACAGAAAAGTGAAAACATAAGGAAGGTTAAAGACAGTAAGAATTGAAAGTCCCAGTGGCGTTGAAGGATTGTTGGAGAGGGGAGCAATCTAGAAGATAGAAAATAATAAACAAAATGTAGATGTTTCAAATTGAAATTTGGAGAAAGTATATAGTTGCTAATAATTACAAAGTTTGATTTGGACCAGGCATGGTGGTTTACACCTGTAATCCCAGCACTCTAGGAGGCCAAGGCAGGTGGATTGCTTGAGCTCAGGAGTTCAAGACCAACCTGAGTGAAAGTGAGACTCCATCTCTACTAAAAATAATAGAAAAATTAGCCAGGCATTGTTGCAGGCACCTGTAGTCTCAGCTGTTCAGGAGGCTGAGGCAAGAGGATTGCTTCAGCATTAGAATTTGAGGTTGCTGTGAGCTATGACACCAAGGCACTCTACCCAGGGTGACAGAGAGAGACTCTGTCCCCCCAAAAAAGCCAAAGTTTGATTTGACCATAGGAGTGAGTAACAAAATAGAGATTGCGCTATATTTCTGATCTTCGGCAAAACACAGCATTTGACTATATTAAAAGTGGATCCTGGCTCAGTGCCAGTAGCTTAGCAGCTAGGGCGCCAACCACATACACCAGGGCTGGCAGGTTTGAACCCAGCCTGGGCCTGCCAAAACAACAAAAGCAACTACAACCAACAACAACAAAAAATAGCTGGGCATTGTGGCGGGCGCCTGTAGTCCCAGCTACTTGGGAGGCTGAGGCAAGAGAATCACTTAAGCAATAAAAATAAAAAGTGGATCCTAGGTAGAGATCAGGGAAGGCCCATTCTGGTTTTTTGCCATTTTTACCACCTCATTCTGGTTTGTTTAGACTGCTGCACAGTTACCATTATTATTAAAATTTGCTTCCTGGTGTTATAACATTTGATAGCATAACTGACAACATATAAATCATATAAATATGATATAAATAAATATGATATCCTATAAATCACCTTGACTGAGATTCCAACAGAAACAAGTATAAAACTAGACATGTTGGAATTTATTGTGGAAGTTTATGATTAAGAGAAGAGAAACTCAGAAATATAGTATGAATATATGACCCATTGCATACTCATCCATGAAACGTGTTGTTTAGGCAAAGTATTTTCAACTATGTTAAAGCATTAACCTCAAATGGACAGAAATACTTGGAAACTAGAGGTTTCTTCTGTACTACCTTTATTGCTGAAAAGTCAGTAGAATATTTAAAACAAAGCCTATGGCTCCACATCTGTGTCAATATGAATAGATGATTGTATGGACATACAGTAAATGCTAGGGTGGAGACATGCAGAGGGTTTCAGGGAGGGGTATCCCTGGCCCACAGGGAGTAAGAAGACTTCCTGAAGGTGACCTTCATAGACAAGCAAGAGTTTAGCCAGATAAAGGAAGGGTATGGGTGGGGGAGGGGAAATGTTCCCCACAGAGGGAATAGCATTAAATAAATGCTAACAGTCATAAAATGACTTCAGGTATTGCAAACAGGTTGGTATCACTGGTGTATTAAAAAAAAAAAAAGATTTAGTGGATTGTGTTTAGATTGGGCTTTAAACTGAGGACATGAAAGAGTCATTAAAAGGAATAGCCCATAAAAAGCTAGGTTTTAAGACCATTAATCTTAATTATTTGCTTCTTAAACATTGTGTAGTTGTATATTTCAAGTCTGGTCAGTGTGATCATTTAGAAGACAGTTTAAATGATCTGGGCAAAAGGTGGTAGAGACCTAAATTAGAGAAGTGATAGTACAGATGGAAAAGAGAGAATGACCACAGAAATATGTAGGAATAAAAATGGGCAGGACCTGGTATATGGATTACAGATATGAAGATTAAAAGAGAGGGAGAAATCACATTTGTTAAAATACCTCTCTATTGACCAACACAAGGAGGCAGTATGTTTATCATCTTGGGTCTTGGAAAGAGGAGACAACCGCTTCATGTTGAGAGTCAAGAGAACAAAAGGCAGGGGTGAATAAGAAGGAGAGGCCTTTCCATAACCTTCCATGAGACACAGACACCCAACTCTTCGCTCTCTCTCTGTCACTTCCTACACACTGTACTATTGGCCTGCAAACTTGTTAAAGTGGTGGGAGAAAATCTTTATCCAAACAAAATCCTATTAAGTAAATCCCCAGAGTCTAACAGCTACAACAGAGGTGAAGGGACTCAAGGCATCTCCACAGCCCCTAGGACTCTGCAGAGTAGTTTGAACATCACTGATCGAGAGTGCACACATCTCACCTTACCCCTACCTTCACCACCTCAAGCTTCAAATAAAAGTTAATGTCAGAGGCCTCTAGCTCAAGAGCTCACTAAGAAAAGTAGGCCTGACACAGTGGCTCATGCCTATAATTGTAGCTCTCTGGGAGGCCAAGGTGAGTGGATTGCCTGAGCTCAGGAGTTTGAGACCAACCTAAGCAAGAGCAAGACTGTCTTTAAAATAGCCAGGTGTTGTGGCGGATGCCTGTAGTCCCAGCTACTTAGGAGGCTGAGACAAGAAAATTGCGTAAGCCCAAGAATTTGAGGTTGCTGTGAGCTGTAATGCCATAGCACTGTACCCAGGGCAACAAAGTAAGATTCTGTCTCAGAACAAAAAGAGCTAAGAAAAGTGGTGGTATCATCTTCAGATTATGGCAACGCACTTGGTTTAGAAGTGGTTTGCTCTTGCGGTGCATGTGAGTTTTAAAAAAGTAAAATTGATGAAGTAGAGTTATCAACCTTAATTATCTTTTCAGAAACAGTAGCAGGATGAAGTAGAGGGAGCACCAGCTTAAGATTCTAGACATCTGGTTTGGGTTCTGACCTTGGGCCTGTCCTCAAATCTCATCTGCCTTGGTTTTCTGGCCTTTTTTTTTTTTGCGGTTTTTGTCAGGGGGCTGGGTTTGAACCCCCCACCTTCAGCATATAGGGCCAGAGCCCTACTCCTTTGAGCCACAGGCACCACCTGGTTTTCTGGCCTTTGAAATGAGACTGGGTAGTCTCTGAGGCCCCTTCCAGCTCTAAAATTCTATTAATTTGAAGTAGCCAGCTTTGGGGGAAAAGGCTTTTGATTGAAGCTACAGTCCCAAATCAGTGCCTGCCTATGAGAAATGACCTGGAAAGTCCCATGGAAGGAATAGCAGTGAAGCACAGCTTATGGTATCTGTAGTTCATCTTCATTGTTCTGTAGCTAGACACAGCATGCTTTTAGCAGTCAGTTTCCAGTGGGAATTTTTCATTATCTTTTGGGGTTTGATTTTGGACATAGGAACATGGTGATAATGGATAAGTGCCTCTGACCAACTACAAATACAGAAGGTATACGAAGCAAAAGTAAAAGTTGTTTGAGGTAATTCTTTTGTAAGATTTTGAGAACATAGCCTGTGTCCTAACCCCCTACCTGTCACATAGAATAGTCTGTTCATCTTTTTTCTACTACTAAGTGCTAGAGAATGTAGCCAGTTCTCTTCCCAGGGGCTCAAATTACTCCAAAACTTAGTGGCTTAGTGGTTAAAACAACAAACATTTATTACGTCATAGTTTCTGTGAGTCGGGAGTTCAGGAATAGCTTAGCTGAGTGATTCTGCCTCAGGGTCTCATGATGTTACTGTTAAGATGTTGGGTAGTACTGCATTTATCTGAGGGTTGATAGGCTTGAGAATCCACTTCTAGCCCCACTCACATGACTGTTGGCAGAAGTCTCATGTTCTCACCTTGTTTCCAGAGGTCTGTGTGGATGCTCTCACAACATGGCAACTGACTTTCCCCAAAGCAAGACAGAAGCTGCAATCTTTAATGACTTAATAGCAGAAGCCATTATCTATCATTTTGTCATAGTCTGTTTTTCTAAGAGGTGAGGTCTTGCTGTGTTCTCCAAGCTGGCATTGAACTCTTGGGCTGAAGTGATCCTCCCACCTCAGCCTCCAGAACAGCTGGAACTTCAGGCTGGTGCTGCCTTGCCCAGCAAATTTTTTCATAGTCTTTGTTAGAAGCAAGTCTCTGAGTATAGCCCTCACTTAAGAAAAGGGAAATTAATCTCTACCAAAGGGAAAAGTATCATAAAATCTGTGAACAAATTTTAAAACTATCACTACTAGCTTGGGCACTACTTTTCTGACTGAAGGGGTATTAGTAACAGGCTTTATTCAACTATATGTCTGGTTAGCCAGGAACTTAATATTCACTCACAAAGTGGTTCTTGGAACTGGGTAACTATTGCTCTTTTTTTTCCCCTGAGATATATATAACAATTATGAAGGAATTGAATGAAGACAGTAATTATGAACATGTGCATTGATTTATTCAGCAAACATTCACCAGATGTCCTTATGTGCATAAAACAAGCTTTGGTTTTGTATCTTTATATTTTTGAGGAATTTGTACTAGGGAAGTTAGAAAAGAAAACAAAGAAAAAAGGACACATACAATACAGTGTGATAAAATACTGATGTTAGGCATAGGGTGATTTGTTTAGACAGAGCACCTAACCAAGACTGGGGAGATCTGGAAGTCAGGGAAACATTCTAAAAGCAGTGACTCTTGGGTGAAGACCCTCACCCCCCACAGCAGTCAGACACAGAGCTTTGTGACCCTGTGCATTACTCTTCTTACCTTACAGAATGTTGCAGAGGCACAGTGCATCGCCAACCAAGTTCAGCTCTTCTATGCCACTGATCAGAAAGAGACGTATGGGTTAGTGGAGACCTTTAACCTCAGACCTAATGAGTTCAAATATATGTCTGTCATCGCTGCATTGGAGCAAAGTGGACTTGGAGCAGAACTGAAATGTGCCCAGAACCAAGATAAGACCTAGAGCTAGAAGGGTTGGCCCTTCACCAAGTCACTCAGCCCTGGATAATCTAGAACCCACCCACCCATCAAGAACTCAGAGTTCAACATCTATTAATGAGCCATCTGTACTGAGCTTCCCTGTGTGCGTATTGCAAGAAGTGATTCTGGAGATGAGCCCTATTACTTAATATTCAGGAATGAAGATACCCAAATATTCTGGTAACTATTTTAGCATACTTGAAGTTTCCTTTTAAGTGTTTGAGGTTATAACAAGAGACAGCCAATGATCTACAGGACAGTTGACTTTGTATAGTGTAACAGTGCAGTTGCATTCTGGCCATTTTGACCTCATAGCTCACAAATGATTAGTTTGTCATCTTTATGAACTTGTGATGGGATAATAAGCTTGAAGACTTGCTATTGCTAGATGTGGGCTTTATATACTCTTCCCATGCTCCAGTCATCTGCCCAAAGGCATAACTAAGATACTCTGTTTAGACTCTAGAATAACCAGATATTCCCATCAGGATAAAGTCTTCATCTAGAGGCCTTTAGTTAGTTGGTTTAGAGTATCAGCAAATTTCAAGTGTAGTTAGATAAACATATACAATGCCTGCACTATTAAACCATACTTGTGGCACCTGGTTCTCTAACTGCTGGTTAGAAATTGTTTTTGATGGGGTGAATCGGTGCAGGGTAAATAAACCAAAATACTTTTATAAAGAGAAGATCAATCCAGATTTGCATGATTTTTTAAAAACAACTCTAAGCATTATATGAAAAAGTAGATAGAAGCAAGTGTTCCTGAATGGGGTGTGAGGAAAATGTAGCAATAAAAAAATATAGTCTGGCTTACAATCTTTGTTACACAAAAGAATGAAATTTAAGCTGTATGCTGTCCATAGTGTCAGCTGTATAGGCTGATTTTATCAAAAGTCATCTTGGGACTCAGCAGTTGTTAGGAACACCAGAAATCAGAACGTTATTCTTCAGCACTGGAAACCCATCTTTTGTTTGTAGTGTTGCTATCGTGGCTCACTGATAGAAGAGGATGGTGGTTACACACCAGCCTTCTGAATCCAGGGCCCTGAGTGCCCCCCAAGATTGTTGTCAGCTGCCTTTACTGCCTTTGCTTTGTTGATCTAACATGTTCTGCTTTGCCTACTGCTCCTACCTAAGATCTGGTTGGATGACGCTGAATATGGTGAGTGGGAATTTAAAGTATTTACAGTTTGTGTGTGTGTATGTGTTTGGGACCTGTCTCCCAGCTCTTTAAATAGAATCAAACTTCCCATTGTTTTCTGAGTTGTGTCTGTTTTGTTCCACTGATGTGTCTGTGTGTAGAGAGAGAGAAATAGTGTTTGTTTAACCTCAAGAAGCTGCTACCCTTTCACAATTTCTCTAGAGATTGAGCTCTTTCCTAATACAAATTCTGAACCTGTTTCTGGTCCTGGCAGTTCTATTTTGAGAAACTTGAGTCTTTGCAGCCCTGCCATTTTCCTTAAATGCCCTCTGACCTGGACATTTTGAGTCCCAGGAATCTTTGATGTCAGGTAGGGTTGCTTTCATGGTTATCCAGTTATATTTGCTTTTGCCTCCAGTGGACCCAGTTCTTAGCTATAGTACCTACTTATAACACCTTCACCAGAGGATAAGAAAGTGATGGAAAAACAAATAAGAAATGGCTGGCCATTTTATCATTCTTCCTGGCTTTGCCTTCAGTCCCCACTTGCCAAGAAGTATGTATCCACTACATTGGACATGACTAAAGTACCATCTGACTGCTTTTTTCATTTATTTACTGAGACAGCTCTGGTGAATAACTAAAAGAAAATCATAACATGTTTTCAGTAAATTTGTCCCTCGGTGCTAGCGTGATGTTATAGAAAGTGGACAGACTTTAGAGGTAAATGATTCTGGGTTCAGATGTCAGCATTGCCAGCAGTACTATTCACTAGCACTGTAATGTTAAACAAATTACTTAAAATCTCTGATTCTGTTTTTTCATCTGTAAAATGGGGATAATATCTACCTCATAGAATTATTGTGAGAATTAAATTAACGTACATGTAGATTACCATAGAACTTAATAGATGCCAATTCCCTTCCTTTTCTCTATTTTCCCTGCCCCTCATTAAAGACCAACACAGATTAACATTTCAGATTTGCAGATCATTCTTCATTCCAGTTAGAAGAACAAACTTTATTTTACTGGTTCTGAAACTTTAAGATGCAATAGAATCACCGAGAGCACTTTAAAATGCAGATTCCTCAGCCTGAAAACCCCCTCAAAACCTGCTGAATCAGAGTATGTGCAGAAGGTGGTGGGATTCTATACTTTAAAGTATGCTCCATGTGATTCTGATAGTGGTAATCAGCCACCGCAATTTGGGAACCGTCGCCTTATTTATTCTTTACAAAAATGTGTGTTAGCCAGGTCTTTTCTTTCCTGTGGACACTAACCATAGGCAATAGTTTCCTCTGCTCTTTGTCTCCCATAATGTTTCCTTTTGCGTATTCTAATTACATTATATTTATTTATTCTTGTGTCTTTTTCCCCCTACTAAACTGTGAGCTCCTTGAGGGCCAGGGCTTATCTCTATTCCCAGTGCCAAGGACATGGCCTGGACCATATGAAATAGTTGTTTGTTGTATAAATAAATGACATGGACTTTAGCCGAAACATTATCTTGTGTGTGTACTTACATTTAAAGACTTTGGGTTTAAGAGAATCTCTTAACACACATAGATTGAGAATTTGCTGAGCAGGAATATTTGCACACCAGGCTACCAAGCTATGCACGAAGTCTGTGTCTTGCCTAGTTCTCTGCATTATCTTAATGCACTTTTACACTGTGCACAGAGCACCTGTTCTGCAGCCACTGTGTTAAGTGCTGGGCATGGGACGATGAGCAGAGTCCGATCCCTGGTCACTGCTCTCAAGCTCTGTTTCAGTCACTACCTGGTCTCCCTCTTCCCTTGATTCCGTGCCTCACACCTATGTATGCTCATACTTTACCTTGTCTCATTCGCAGGATGTTCACACCAGTACTTCTTTCTTCTCCAACTAATTTGAAACCTAGAACCACATGTTCTGTTTTTTGCATTCTCTACAATATTAACCTTCTATTCAGTCTTGGAGAAGAGGTACTAGTGCTCAGTCCACCAGGCATTTGATTTAGCATTGATTCAACATTCATCCATATTTATTAAGCACCTGTGATATGCCAAACACTGTTACAGAAAACTGGGGAATAATACAGTAACGAATATGTCAAATAAGGCCCTTATTCTCATGTAGGTTATGTTCTTATGGAGAAGACAAGTAAACCAATAAGATTATTTCAAATACTGGTAATGCTACAAAAATAAAATTAAAAATAATGTGATAGACTGGAGTAGAGTCAATAACTTAATGGTCAGGAGAGCCGTTTCTGCAGAGGTGACAGTTGATATGTGAGAACAGGAAGTGTCTGGGCACAGATTTAAAGGTTTCACCCCTGGGCGGCGCCTGTGGCTCAAGGAGTAGGGCACCAGCCCCATATACCGGGGATGGAAGGTTCAGGCCCGGCCCCAGCCAAAACTGCAAAAAATAATAATAATAATAAATAAATAAAAAGGTTCCGTCCCTGCCTCTTAGGAGGCCATGGTCCAGCAGGTAAGACACTGACATGAATAATTACAAGGCACACTGACTAGTACATCTCAGAAGAGGTGCAAGGAGAGTTAAGGAACCCTACTGGGTGCTGCAAAAGATGCAAAGCTCACCAGACAATGGTACCTGCCTGAGAAGAGTATGGCTTAGCAGGAAGTAACAGATAGACAATATTAAAGTCTCCAAGGATATGTGTTTTATGCAGGAGACAAAACAGTTCAGAGCTGACCTCACAAGCCAGTGATTCACCCAGAAAAACGTCTTGTTTTTTCTGCAAGCTCCATTCATTTTTATCTTTTATAGCAAATTTTATCATACTTTTCCTTGTTTATATGTGTCTTGATATGCAAATACTTAACTATCATGTAATGATTGTGTACAGTATTCAGCACAGTAACACGCTGTACAGGTTTGTAGCCGAGAAGTATAGTAGGCTCTGCCATCTAGATTTGAGTAATACACCCTATGCTGTTTGAACAACAATGAAATCACCTCATGATGCATTTCTCAGTTTATTCCCCACTGTTAAGTAACATATAACTATGTACACATTAACCATAACCACTGATATTTCATAAGGGCTTACCATGTACTGAGCACTGTGCTAAGCCTTTACATGGATTATCTCATCCTGCCAACAACCCTGTAAGTTCAGCAGGAACCTGCTTGTCAGTAACATGTGCTACTGCTACTGCTCTCCTTGTACCCTCTTGTCCTCCTCCAGCTCCAACTCAGAAAAGGAGACAATCTCCCAAACACCCTTAACCCCACCCAGTTCTAGCAGCAATCGGGTCTTAAGAAGTCAAGGGTGGTCCTGGTGCAGTGCCTCCTATCTGTAATCCTAGCACTCTGGAAGGCTGAGGCAGGTGGATTGCTTGAGCTCAGGAGTTCAAGACCAGCCTGAGCAAGAGCAAAACCCCTTTCTCTACTTAAAAAGTAGAAAAACTAGCCAGGCATTGTGGCAGGCACCTGTAGTCCCAGCTACTCGGAAGGCTGAGGCAAAAGGATTGCTTGAGCCCAGGAATTTGAGGTTGCTATGAGCTATGATGTCATAGAACTCTAACCTGGGACAACAGAGGGAGACTCTAATTAAAAAAAAAAGGCAAGGGTGTCTCTGGAACCAACCCTGAGAAACATGTCTACCAATTTTCTTGCTGGTAACTAAAGAACAAAGTGCATATATTTTGTGTCTCTTATGCCTCCAGACTATTTTGAAAGAAAGACATCATGTTCTAGCTGCAAAAGACTTTTTTTGTGCTCTGTGTTTAATGCTAAATGGTCTTAGTTATTCTAATGTGGCATGTTGGTGGCTGCATCTTTTTCCTTGTTCTGCTAAAGGAAAGACTTGGGGCGCAGAAAGGGAAGAGATGACTTGAAGATTGCTCCCTACATCAGGAGCCAAACCAGAGACAGGAGGCAGCCGTCCACACTCCAGGCTTAATGGGATCATTTGTAGTGTCTACTGAGTAGGTTCATTCCTCACATTCAGTTGAACAGGGCTATTTCTGAGCTCTTTAGGCCTTAGGAACTGAAATATCTACAAGAAAAAATCAGTTCAAGCCACTTAGGAATCATCCCAGGCTCTCCAGAACATTCAAGACAAAGTCCCTTTGGATCAGCTCACAAGAGCTTCAGGATCCAGTGGGTGGTGACTTCAAACTCATCCCATGCTAGGCCCTCACCCACTCTTTTAGCTCCAGCAATCTGGATAGCTGGCAATTCCCTGAACACTCTGTGCTCTTCCTACCTCTGTTCTGCTCTTTTCAAATACTTTTGCCTGATAGAAATGCCTGTTCCCCCTTCATCAGGTTAATCCTTGTTTGTCTTTAAAGCTCAACTGAAGCTTGTCTACTAGAAGCCTTTTCCTGGGCCTACTCCCCTTCACACTGCCCCCCACCTGGATTATGTGCTCCTCTGTGGTTCCCCAGCATTTTGCACTCAAGCCTTTGCAAGACTGTCCTCCCACTAGACGGGACACCCCTGGCAGATGGACCATAAAACCTGGCAAAGAGAGATAAGATACCCTGTGAATGCTAAATAAATCCTTCTCAGGTGACCACTAACCTCAGACACCTGCATCTACAAGTGTCCTTTGCATGATGAGATCCAGCCCTGCCAAACACATTGTGGTTATGTCCCAGTCCCAGGCAGCAGCCATTTTTCTTGCTCTTACTGCAGAGGCTACATGTGAAAAACCAAGCAAAGGGGTCATCAGAGGAAGCAGCCATGTCCAGTGTTTGTGAACAGAAAGAACGGAATGATAATGAACTTTTGGAACAAGATTTTTTTTTTTTTTTTTTAGATAGTCTCACTCTGTTGCCCAGGCTAGAATGCCATGGCATCATAGCTCACAGCAATGTCAAACTTTTGGGCTCAAGGGATCTCTTGCCTCAGCCTCTCCAGTATTTGTGACTACAGACACCTGCCATGATGCCACGCTAGTTTTTCTATTTTTAGTAGAGACAGGGTCTCTTGCTCAGGCTAGTCTCAAATTCCTGAGTTTAGGCATCTGAACTCCTGAATCTATCCACCTCAGCCTCCCAGAGTGCTAGGATTACAGGCGTGAGCCACTGCACTCAGCTCTCTTTCCTTACATGACACAAAACTCCAGCCCCTCACTTTCTGGCTGACCTACTTCTGGGCAGACTCAGTGTCTCCCTCACAGCTGAGGCCTAGGGTTGAGCCCAGGATGGCCTCGTGGGGTTACCTGAGTGGATGTGTGGTGATAGTACCTTGGGAGTTAACAATGCCCACCCTCATCCCCACTGCTACCTTCTCCTGTCTTCTCATGATCAGTTGTCAAATATGGATTTTCCTACCTTGAACTTTTGACTTTGGGGCCTCTACACATCTCTCTGTTTCATCTGGCTGGTTTTAGTCCAGTGTCCCCATCACATCTTCACTTGAATCTTCACATTATTGCTTAGAACCTGTGTCCCTTACCAACAAATGTGGAATTCCTTGTTCCTCTTCTAAAACTACGTGGCAGTAATCATAGGTAAGTGGTGAACTCTAAAGCTCTTTATTTACCAAAAGAAAAGTCCTTGCCATGGTTTGAAACATCACCACTGAATCATGCTTGACTTGGTGCACTGTGGTCCCACACCACTTTTGTCATGGTTGTTCCTACATTTGTGATCTGACATGAATCCCCGGTTTGCATTCTCATTTCTTCAACCCTTGTTCATCCTCCCATTTTGACCTTACCTCTGGTCAGATGGGAAGTAGCAGACAGATCTTACTTTTTTTTTTTT